CGGAGATGTTCCGCGCCTTCGGCTGCCAGCGCTCGATCGTGCCGCGGGAGCGCTACAGCACGCTCGCCGAGGACATCGACAAGAATCCCACGGTCTTCGGCAAGCTGCTGCGCCGCGAGCAGCCGGTGCGCGTCTTGCACGAGGACGACACGTACTTCGCGTTCCGCAACATCAAGCCCTACGCGCCGCTCGCGGGCCTCGTCATCCCGAAGCGGCGCCTCCTCCAGGACCCGGACGCGCTTGGGCCCGAGGACCTGCCGGTCGTCGAGGACCTCAAGCGCATCGCGCTCGACATCTGCGAGCGCGAGAAGCCCGACGCGTTCAAGGCCAACGACTACTGGCTCCGCTTCCATCCCCGGCCGTTTAATAGCGTGGACCACCTCCACCTCCACGTCCTCGCGCCCGTCAGCCAGGTTTCCGTCTGGACGACGCTCGTCTTCTTCGCGCACGGCCTCCACGCGGCGGACGTCGACGACGTCCTGGCGCGGCTCCGCGGAGGCGACGGCGCGAAGCCTAAGGAGGGCTCGTAGTTCTACGCTTGGGTTTTGCGAGTCGCGTTCGGGGTGGGCTAGAGTTCGGCCTGCGCCGTTGCTGGCGCGCTCGCGCGGCGCGCGGCGGCCCAGGTCCAGGTCCAGGAAGGCGTCGTCGACGTACGGCGGGCCGAGGTAACGCACGGAAAAGTACAAGGTGTTGACCGCGAGCTCCATGCAGGTGTTGACCGCCATGGCCACTTCGTGGTCGTCGCGGACCCGCGTCGCGAGCTGCTTCACGGCCGCGTCGTCGGCGCAGCGGCCGGCGGCCGCGAGCTGCGCGAGCCCCGCGAACGGCCTCCGCCGGTCCACCGCGGAGACGTGCTCGACGACGAAGACGATCACGACGTGCTCCTGCTGCTCGACGACGTAGACCGGCGTCGTGGACCGCGACAGCGACCTCTGGGCGACGGCCTTCTCCGGCGCGAGGGCCTTCTCCGGCGCGACGGCCTTGGCGTTCTCCGGTAACGGCCTCCGCCGGTCCACCGCGGAGACGTCATGCTGCTGCTCGGCCTCGGTCGATATTAGCGAGGTTGTAGGTGTGCTTCTTTCTAAGCGCACCCCAGACGCGCAACGACAGGACCTTGGCGACGACTGCGGGGCGTCCGGGCCGACGTCCATTCACCCCCCGGTCACCGAAAGACCTCGCAAAGAGCTTGCTGAGGCAGAAAGTCGTCTCGGGAGAGCACCGATGGCAGACGCTGGATCGGACGCCCCGCCGCCGGGAGCGGCGGTCCCCGATGCCCCGCCGCCGCCGCCGCCGGCCGCCGCGACCGCGGCGCCGCCGCCGCCGCCCGCGGCCGCGCCGCCGCCGCCGCCACCACAAGACGGCGACGACGGCGAGGAGAAGCTCTGCCGCTACTGCTCGAC